AAAAAATAAATAAATAAATAAAATTAAAAAAATAAAAAATAAATAAAAAAATATATTAATAGTTAAAATAATAAGGTAATGTTTACCTTACCTCAAGACAATGAATTTTTTTCTAGATTAAATCTGCGGAAAATTAGCAATTTACCAAGTTGCATACCTGTGCTGAAGGTCAGATGGTTATACCCACAATCATTTATTAGATCTCAAAACAGTGAGAGATGGGTTATCCAAATGCTAAGAACCAGTATCAAAGTCCATGCACACATCATTTAGAGAACAGCACCTGTGACTTTCATTCTTTTTTTAGTTGCAAGTCTAAAAATTTTGCTTATATGGTTTCCTGATCCACACAACATAACAGAAAGATAAGAAGAAGAAAGGGGCTAGAAGCAATCTCAAAGAAGTGATTAAAAAAATAGGAGTCAACACACAGGACAGCCAGGGCCCACAATGTAGAGACGAACAGCTCTGCAGCCAATGAGAGTATTAATTAGACCACAGCACAGAAGAGGATACACAGCCATAACCATCTTTAGCCAATGCCAGCTCATATAATATCTTTTTGCAAGCAAGAAAGTATACACCTTTTAGAAAGCTTTTCATCAAAACACGTCTAAAATAAAGTTTTAGAGTTCAAGGGGGAAAGCTTCAATTATCTTGAAAATATTAATATGGCATCACTGAGGATGACCAAGAAAGACACTTTCCCTAAGAACATTCCAGGTGCTCGTCTCCTCCTGAATATCAAGTGGCCCTTTGGTCTACATATTTCTGTCATTAAAAATAACTCCTATAACCTCCCAGTCCACAGCTCAGTCCATAAACACATACAACTTTGTGATCCCAGGCATGCAGATTTTTACCTTCTTAATCTCTGCTCTGTACTCATTGTTATACACCTCCATCTTCTTCAATTCTTCATATTTTTCCATTAGTTCTTGGCTCAGCTGTTTACATGTTGCACTCACAGATTCCAAGCTGTATGACAAAAATAGGATCACAGATTTAAAGCAAAACAAAAACCCTGAAACCCACAAATGGAATTATCTAACTTACCTTCTTGATGTCCAAGAAATATCTTAGACACCACCTCTCACCCCAAATTAAAGCTCATTTCCAATTTCCTTATTAGAGGCAGCTAAATTCGATTCAAATTTTGAAGTTACCTTTGATTTCTGTGTTTACCTATCATCATTCCTTCCCTTTAAAATTTAACTGGTCACCAAATTCTAAAGATTACAGCAATTTAGCTAATTTTTCTCTCTAGTTGTACGGGAGCTGCCATCATAATCTCAATCTTTACTAGACTTAATTACAATTCCACCCTACACACAGCTGCCAGAATAATCTTCTTTAAAGAGTTTCCAACTTGTCACCCTTACTTAAGAATCAATCTCTCACCAGATAGAAGAACCTCAGGGGCACCACACCTCTCTTATCTCACTGCTCATTTCTACTAATAAAACCTTTTGCTTCCAAATCGATAGGCTTTTCTGTCTGCCATGTGCCATTTGCTATGCCTGACTTCTTGTCTCTTCATACACCAACCCCTTGAACACACAGCACCTTCCCCTCCCACCTGGCAGTGGATGGTCAACACCCTTTCAAGAATCAGATCAGCATTCACCTGACACAACCACCCCGACCCTCATCCCCCTAATCATCTTAAATAGAGTTTATTTTTAATTTATACAGCTTGAATGTACAAATTTCCTAGAATTTTCTACTTTAAATTGCTCTCAGGCCTTGTAATGTGTATATTTTGTCTCTCAAACTACAAATTCTATGATTAACATAAGGTCTTTTACGTCTTATCTCCCTCCAACCTTGCCTATCATTCCCTCAGCCCCTATATCCTCCGGTTCTAGACTGTTCAATAAATGCTTACTAACCACCTAGACAGTTTTACCAACATAGTCAACTCACCAGGTAAGCTATCATTCAAAAATACCATCTTTGTAATACAACAACACAAACACAATTATTTAAATTCTTCCACTTCCTGTTTTAAGGAACACTTTGTTCAAACTGAACAACACAAACTGTCTAAAAGGGTTCCTTTTTCTACTTGCCTTTTTTTTTTTTTTTGGTGAGGAAGATCGGCCCTCAGCTAACATCTGCCAATCCTCCTCTTTTTGCTGAGGAAGACTGGCCGTGGGCTAACATCTGTGCCCATCTTCCTCCACTTTATATGGGACGCCGTCACAGCATGGCTTGACAAGCGGTACGTCAGTGCGTGCCCGGGATCCGAACCGGTGAACCCCGGGCCGCCGCAGCAGAGCGTGCGCACTTAACCGCTTGCACCAACCGGGCCAGCCCCTCTACTTGCCTTTTGATACAAAAAAAATAATTTTTTAAAGCCATTGTTTTATTACTGAACACTGGTGTTTGTATACCTTTATTCCAATATTACCTATTTCTAAAAATCCTAGAATGTTCATTTATTTGGTACTTACTATGTGATTATAATGTGTCAAATAACGAGAGAGAGAAGAAAAATCAGAGATAATCTTGTCCTATCTACAGATGGGAAAATGGGGGCCTAAGGAAGCTAAGGTGTCCAAGGTCACACTGGAAATCAGAAACAAGAGGCATGTCTTCAGAGCCTAATGAGAGCACAGTACATACACGTACAGCACAAAACATACATACATGTAAAAGTTTACTAAAAAGCCAATCAATGGAAGATCTACGATAAAAATGTAATTTTAGTTCTAATGTCAAAAAGGAATAATAAGCTTCATTTTATTCAATCCTAAGTGTGAATATATACCTCAGTAACGATAATCAAGAGTATCTTAAGTATTCCAAAGTGAAAAAGAAATAAAGCAAAAACTGTGTGTGTGTATGCATGTCTATTTCATATATAAAGAAAATACTTAGTGGTTTCCAAAAACAGAAAGAAAAGTAAAAACAAAAAATGTATTACTTAAAGATAAGTTTTAAAGGGTAAAGTGACAATTATTCTGTTGTTTGTTTGCCTAAAGACTATTAGTTTATATATTTCATCTTTTACACACAGAAAATGTTAGTGTACGAATAATCATGATTCATGTTTTAAACAAAATATGAAACTTCTCAGTCAAAAAGTTTAGAGGTATGACAAACAAAAGATGTTCCCAAGTACGACAAGGACGCAAGTGAGCTGGGCGTGGTACAGCATGAGCCAGGGTTCAGTCAGCACCCAAGAAGTAGCAGCAGCACTCAGAGCAGGAGGAAGGCGTACCACGCGGGCTGTGTGACCTGGCCCAGAGCAGTTCCAGCGAGGCGGCTGGTAGAGGGGAAAGCCTGATAGAAGCGGTTCCACATCGCTTCACCGAGGTAAAGAAGCAGAGACAGTCAGTACAGACAACTTCTTTGAAGAATTTGGTTTTGAAGGAGAGCAGAGAAATATGGAAGTAACTTGACAGGGATATAGGATTAAAGGAAAGTTTTAATTTTTTTCCCAAGACGGGAAATACTAAAGCATATTTTATACCACGGGAAATGATTTAGCAGCAAGAAAGAACTTTATGACGTAAAAGAAAAAAAAAACTGTAGAAACAGTACACAAGTAGAGTCCTAGGAGCACAGACATGTCATCCATCAATTCACCCACTGTTAACAGATGATGCATAGAGGCAGGCGGACTGGTAGATTTGGTGGAAGAAAGATTGGGAAGCTCTCCTTTAATTGCTTGTTTTATCAATGGAATAAGAAGTTGGGCCATTTGCAGATACTAGAGAAAAAAACTTATTTTTTCACTAAGACTATTATGTTAGTTTACTTTATCAATATGACGATGAAAAATCATTTTTTAAACTTGAATTTTTATTTTTTTAATTTTTTTTGGTAAGGAAGATTGGCCCTGAGCTAACATCTGTGCCAGTCTTCCTCTACTTTTGTATGTGGGACACCATCACAGCATGGCTTAATGAGCAGTGTGTAGGTCCGAGCCAGGGATCTGAACCCGCAAACCCCAGGCCACTGAAGCAAAGCATGTGAACTTAACCACTATGCTACCAGGCCGGCCCTAAACTTGAACATTTTTAAAAAGTGTATATAATCATCTACCTGCCTTCCAAACGAGTCACCTCTGCCTGCAGAAGTTCTTCACTTGTATGGGTAAAATCCAGCTGGGAGAGCACAAGGTCTAAGTCCCCCTGCCCTTGAGAGGGGTACCTCCTTTCTGCCTGAGACTCCTCCAGTGACCTGTGAAAGGACACAGGATGTTAAAGGCCTTTTATCTTTGCAAACAAAAATAACGCACAACCAGTTCATATTTCGCTACTGTTTTTGGTAATGAAACTCCTTGGAACTCTTCACTTTGTCGCCTGCTTTACAAAAGGAACACTGGGAGAGTCAAGGGGCAAGAGATAATGCTTCTCAAAAAAGTCAGCAGCAGTTTACTCCTTTCTCAACTGGAATTTGGCCTGTTTTTCAAGGGAAAAAGACGAAATGACAAAAATCACTTTTTGACACTTGATAGCTTGAGTCAAACTGAAAAGTTACAGGAGAGTTCTGGCAAGAACAGAAATGTGCTCCACAAGACTTAAATCAAGCAAAGGAACATAGCTCCTTTCTTTACTTTCCACTATAAATCTCACAGCAATAATTCATATAGAGAAATAAAATCAGTTTTAGGAATTTTTTTAAAAGGGCTATCTCAATAGCTGCTTGTTGATGATATTGATGATAAGCAGCTACTAATCACGACTTATTCTACCAAGGCAGAGAGGCCTCCAGGAGATGCGGACTACTATTCCTTTCACGTTTGAAGTTTCACCAAGGGTTGGATTGACCAAGGGGTTTCCAATTTTCTAAATATCAGAGTGTCTTGGTTACAGACACAAACAGGAGGCAGAAAAAATTAAACACAAATTTTTTTAACACTATAAAAATTTAACTCAGAAATTAAAACTAAAAAAGAAAACCCATAATATGATCAAACACAAAATTATGAATATGTAATATTAAAACTGGTGCTTAATGCCAAACCACCAAGTGGCTAAGATTAATAGTATTTCAGACTAAATACACCTTATGGCCTCTACTGCGTGTTTAGTGTCAGCTGCCTTTAATTTTGCTTGTAGCTTCTCCTTCTGCATTCTTTCCTCACGGATGCAATTTTCTTGAGACTGAAGAGTTGCCTTCAATTCTCTCTTTTCTTCCTGAAGAAACTGCAAAATACTCAGAAAAAAGTCAGATGTTACTACAATTTTTCTATTTCATGAGAAAAGGAAGCCATAGAATCAGACTGTTTAAGTTATACAACAGACACAATATTAATAAGGCTATCAATATCTGATCTACTGGCTACAGAGCAGAGAAGAAACCACAGATTTTAGAACCTAATTCTAAGTTAATTATTCTCTCTTGAAACACGCATACACACATTTCCCCAATTATAGTCATTTTAAAACACACCTCTAACAGTTTTTCAGATTCTCTCAATTTTTCTTCTTTTTGCCGCTGCTCTTGCATAACAGTCACGTTAGTTCCAACCAAGTCGTTGACCCTCATGGTGAGGCGCTCTATTTCCAACTCATTGGCACAGATAGTGTCATTGGCCCGCTCCAGCTTACTGCTCAGGTGCTGAATTTCCGACTGGCTGGACAGCTCCACAGACTCTAACTTCTGTTTCCGATTGGCAAGCTGAGCCTAGAAACACACAGATTACCAATAGGTAAAAGTGAAATGGTAAAAGAATAATCAATGAATAAGGAAGACTAAAATGAAATTGAGTTTTACTTCTATAAAAATATAAAGGATTGGCTCATTAAAAATATATAATAACCCATTCATGATTTAAAAAAACCCTCATGATAAAAACTAGGAATAGACGGGAACTTTCTCAACTTGATAAAGACTATCGACAAAAACCATATAGCTAACATCACACTTAATGGTGAGAAACTCAAAGCTTTCCCACTAAGATCAGGTACAAGGCAAGGATGTCCCCTCTCACCACTCCTTTTTAACATCACACTAGATATCCTTGTTAATGCAATAAGGCAAGAAAAGGAAATAAAAGGTAAAGAGATTGGGAAGGTAGACATAAAACTGTCTACTGTCTTTATTCACAGATAACATGATTGTCTATGTAGAAAACCTCAAAGAATCAACAAAAAAACCTCTTGGAATTAATAAGCAATTATAGCAAGGTTGCAGGATATAAGGTTAGTATACAAAAACTCTATCACTTTCCTATATACCAACAATGAACACATTGGAATTTAAACTAAAAACACAATACCATTTACATTAACACCTAAAAAAAATTAAATACTTAAGTATAAATCTAACAAAATATGTACAAGATCTATACAAAGAAAATTACGAAACTCTGATGAATGAAATCAAAGAAGAACTAAATAAATGGGGAGATAGTCAATGTTCATAGATAGGAAGACTTAATAGTGTCAACACGTCAGTGTTTCCCAATGTGATCTATGGATTCAACACAATCTCAATTAAAATCCCAGAAAGTTATTTTATGGATATCAACAAACTGATTCTGAAGTTTACATAGAGAGGCAAAAAACTCAGAAGAGCCAATGCAGTATTGAAAGAGAAGAACAAAGTTGGATGACTGACACTACCTGACTTCAAGACTAACTATAAAGCTACAGTAATCAAGACAGTGTAGTACTGGTGAAAGAATACACAAATAGATCAATGGAACAGAACAGAGAGCCCAGAAACAGACCCCCATAAATATAGTCAACTGATCTTTGACAAAGGAGCAAAGGCAATGCAATGGAGTAAATAGACTTTTCAGTAAATGGTGCTTGAACAACTGGACATCCACATGCAAAAAAAAAAACAAATCTATTCAAAGACCTTACACCTTTCAAAAAATTAACTCAAAATAGATTATAGACTTAAATGTAAAATGCAAAACTATAAAACTCCTGGAAGATAACACAGGAGCAAACCTAGATAACTTTGGATATAGTGAAGCCTTTTGCCTTTTTAGATATAACACTAAAGACACGATCCCTGAAAGAAATAATTGATAAGCTGAACTTCACTAAAATTAAAAACTTAATGTCAAGAGAATGAGAAGACAAGCCACAGATTGGGAGAAAATATTTGCAAAAGACACACCTAATAAAGGACTGTTATACAACATAAAAAAAGAACTCTTACAACTCAACAATAAGAAAACAAACCACTCCCAAAAAATAGGCCAAAGACCTGAACAGGCATCTCACTAAAGAAGATATATGGATAGCAAATAAACATATAAAAAGATGATCCATGTCATCACGGAAATGCAAATTAAAACAACAATTATACAGCTATTAGGATGGCCAAAATCTGGAACAATGACCACACCAAATGCTGGCGAGGATGTGAAGCAACAGGAACTCTCACACATTACTGGTGGGAATGCAAAATGATACAGCCATTTTGGAAGACAGTTTGGTGTTCTCTTACAAAAGTTAATATACTCTTACCATACGACCCAGCAATTGCGCTTCTTGGTATTTACCCAAAGGAGCTGAAAATGTATGTCCACACAAAAACCTGCACATGGATGTTTACAGCAGTTTTATTCAGAACTGCCAAAACTTGGAAGCAACAAAGATGTCCTTCAGAAGGTGAGTGGATAAACAAACTGTGGTATGTCCAGACAATGACATATTATTTAGTGCTAAAAAGAAATGAGCTATCAAGCCATGAAAAGACACGAAGGAACTTTAAATGCATATTACTAAGTGAAAAGGCTACAGTATATATGATTCCAACTATAAGACATTTTAGAAAAGGCAAAACTATAGAGACAATAAAAAGATCAGTAATTATAGTGACAGGGGTGGGGGGAGATGAATAGGCAGAGGACAGAGGAATTCTAGGGCAGTGAAAATACTCTGTGTGGTATTATAAATGATGGATATATGTCATTATACATTTGTCCAAACCCATAGACTCTATAACACCAAGAGTGAACCCTAAGGTAAACTATGGACTTTGGGTGATTATGATGCATCAACATAGGTTCACCCTTGGTAACAAATGTACCATTCTGGTGAGTGATGTCGATAATGGGGAGGCTGTGCATGTGTGGGAATACACAGAAAATCTCTGTGCCTCCCTCTCAATTTTGTTGTAAACTTAAAACCGCTCTAAAAAAATAAAGTCATAAATACATATATATAATAAATATCTTGAGAAGGAGGGATAAGAAAAGAATTGAGAAAGTAAAGGGATTCCTCAGGAGAAGAGATCCCTCCCATCTACTGAAAAGACAGCTGCATTATTCTATCCACTTACTCAGAAGTTTAAGTGCACCCAGGAGTCATCATGCAGGAAAACTGGATTTATCTCCCATTCAAAATATAGGAAATAGGAACTATAATGCATTATTGTATTTCTTATGAAAGTTCAGAAATTAAAATTTATTTTAAATCACTAAACTTCTTAAATTTGCAGGTCAAATTTTCCCCTCTCCCTACCACAAAACATGTTGCATGTAGTTGATTATTCTGTTTTAACATTCTTTTCAGATATATTATACACATACATATTCAGATGATTCAAACTGACCACAAAATGTTTAAATTGGGGAGGGTGGGGCGTGGGAGGAAGAGAATTGTGGAAGTTTGTTCCTTGAAGAAAAAGGTGCTTGGAGTGGAGGACGGATTAGTTCTTGTCATCAATTTTTGGACATTCCTTGAGCTAAAAGATTTAACCAAATATAGTGCATCTCAAACTAGTTTCTTTCAATGATGTACCTACTGATTGCTAAACCAATTTGACAACAGTCTTATAGACTTGTAATATATAGTTCCTGCAGACTTAGATAATTTTTAGGCTATGTATCCCAGCTATACCAGTTTTTAGCTCCCACCTTCCTAGTTTTTTACAAGTTTTAATCCAGCATCTGATAGGTACTTCATCCACACACTGAAGATGGACATAAATCATCTTAAAAGTAAAACTCTTATTCTAACTATTTTTAAAAGGTAAAGATACACAATTTTATTTTAGAAATTAAAGTGGAAATGTCTCTGGGAACTCTATCTGCTGCAGATTTAAAGATTTTATTGTACACAGTACAGGGCCAAATCCTATACTGTGGTCACATAAACTAGATGGTCAATAATGCCTGTAAGCCACAGAGAGGGTGGCTGGAGAAAGGCAAAGAGACAGACAATACTGTTTGTATAAATTACAGATCAAGATTCTGGTGTAAAAACTCAAACTTTTTTTTACCAGATTCCTACAATAGTATGAAAGAAAAACATCAAATAGGTTTAGATCCACAAGAGTAATTGCCAAGCATGCAATTGTCTCCAAACTTTTAAAGTACAATATGAACTTTTTTTTTTCCAAGAGGAAATTTTATACAGAATCCTGTGCAGAATAAATAATTGAAGAGACTGGGTGAGAGTGAGAAGGAGAAAAGGGCTGGAACCCGGCTTGCTGAACCTCTCCAACCCACCTTAACCTGCACAGCAGCCCTGGGGCTTGGCAGAATACAGCTAAAACCACTGTCCAATGGACACTCAGGATGAAAGGCAACACATAATTGCAAAACACTAGCATTGTCTTTTTAACAGTGCAATAGCTATGTAATACTCTTCAATTCAAATTTGTGATCTTAAAGTAAACTCAATGTTGAAGTTACTTACACCAGTTTAACCAAGGAGTTTAGATTTGATACTTAAAAACTAACCAACTTCTTAGCTTTAAGAATCAAGAACATAGCCTTCTTTATTGATTCACTAGTTCAGTCACACAAAAATAAACAGTGTTTTTAAGCATAGTGAAAAGTACATAATCATCCCAAGTGCAAATTCTAAATTTTCACCAACTAGAATTCATACACTAGGCCTGTGCTGTGCAACATGGCAGTCACTGGCCACATGTGGCTAGCGAGCATCTGAATTGTGGCTAGTCCAAACTGAGATGTACTCAAAGTGTAAAAATACACACTGGATTTCAAAGACTCAGTTAAAAAAATAAAAATGTAAATGCTGTCATCATAATATTTTTGATATGTTGGGTTAAATAAAATATACTAATTCCACCTGTTTCTTTTTACTTTTTTAATGTGACTGCTAGAAAAATTTAAACTACATATGTGACACATTATATTTCTATTGGACAGAGCTGCACAAGAATATCTCAAGAATACCTCTTCCAATACTAAGAAAGTCACAAATAATCATATATCCTACTTATAAAATAATGAGTATCTGTCTTAAACATCTGGCATTGGAGGTATTTTAAGGCTAATATATTTTTCAAACCTTTGTTCTTTTTGCACTAACCACTACTACTAATTTTTTGAACCAGAAACCAGAACTTCCTCTCATTAATCTAACATACAGCATTCTAACTATTCTACTGGAATGGGTGGAATTCTACGGACAACCCAAATCACAGATGGTTAAAAGTGAAGAGGTGGTTATAAGTGAAGAAATAATTAAGAAGGCAATTTACATCAGGGAGATGAAATAAAAGCCAAGGGTGGGTAGCTAATGTGTGAGAGCAGAGCAAGCAAGAGGCCAGGGGTGGGGGTTGAAGTCGAATCCTCCTCTGGCCTTGTGGTACCTAGCTTCGTGGTACGTAATCCTGATGCTTCAAGGAAATGCCTTTCCTAGATAGAGAGATTACTGAGAACAATGTGATACGAAGCAACAAGGGTTTTTTTAATTTTCCAAAGGATCCCAGCGTGAAGCTACGGCCACTGCAGGCTTCAGTCTTTACCAAGATCCCCATCATTGTCAACTCCGAAGGCATCAATGCAGGCCACAGCCTTGTAGCATCTCCAGGAGGTAGCAGCTTAAAGAGCCCATTAAGAGTACAGCTCCCAGTAAGACTCTCTTATCTCTCTTGTGACTGTGTCACCATAAACTTTAAACAGTAGGTTTGAGCCAATTCAGTTAACTCTGATAATTCCACCAAAACATCAGATTAACTTTTGAGTTAGCATCATCTTTTCTTCGTAAGTTGTGATAGGAAACTGGTGCTTTTAAAAATATAATATGTATTTATACTTATAAATATAAATATATATATAATAGAACAGTGGATTTACAACTAACTTGAGTAATATCTTACAGCTCATCTAAATATTTCAAAAGGAAAACATATATAATGCAACCTCTACTTTTCTCGCATACCATTTATCAGCTAAATATTTTACACTTTGTGCTGGCTTAATATTTTAATTTTTATCAAATGTCCTTAATGTTCTCTAAGATTTCTCTGAATATTTCCTTTTCACACTTGTATTATTTGGACAAAAGAGAAAGTAGCAAGTGATTCCTTGCCCTTCAAACAGAAATGACCCAATGTTTTAGTGACCAACTCCATCCTTTTCCTGTGCTTATATAACCATCATTCTGTCACTGCATCTAATAATGTCACGTTGTTTAACAACTGTAATTTTTAACATAATACCTTTTAATATTTGATAGAATAAACATCCCCCTTACTCTGCTTTTAAAAATTGTTGCCTAGTACCACTCATTTATCCTTCCATATGAATTTTAGAATCATTCTGTCAAGTTCTCAAAATGTAACAGTCAATAATTATGTGGATAACCATTTGGAAAAAAACAAATTTAGATCTCTATCAAATACTTTACACCAAAATAATTCAGATCAAACATATAAAAAAGAAATTATAAAGCATTAGAAGAAATCTTGGCTTAGGTAAGCCTTTATAGTATGACATCAAAGATAGAAACCCTAAAGAAAAAATTAATAGAATTAAGCAATTCTAAATAATTGTTTATAAAGCAATTATATTTCCATAAAAACTACTAGGCAAAATTAAGGTAAACTGGGAAAATACACACAATTGCAACAAAACAGCAAGGGGTTAGTATACTTAATGTATGAAGAGCTCTTTCAAAAGAGTAAAATATAAATATCCTAAAAGGAAAACGAGCAAAGGACACAAACAATTTACAGAAGAATGGAAATGGCCATAAGCAGATGAAAAAATGCCCAACCTCATTCATAATTAAAGAAATGCAAATTAAAACAAACAATTGGATATCATTTTTCTCACCTATCAGATTGGCAAAGACAAGCCTAAAAGTAGGGGAAATAAAAAGAAATAATAGTGACCAAGATTGGGAAAGTGTGAGGAAATGGACATTCTCAAATATTGCTGGCGAAAGTCTGTATCAATATATCTTTGGAGAGTACTTTGACAATATACATTAAAATCTTTAAGAATGCACAACTACTGTGATGCAGTAATTTGACTTCTAGGACCATTTCCTAAGAAAATAAATGGACATATACTCCTAAATGTTTATTTATGGATGTTCTCTCAAGCACTATTTACAAGAGTGAAAAAGTAAAAAACCAAATGTTCTACAATAAGGGACTGGTTACATAAATTATGGTACATATAATGGTAGACTGGACTTCTATGCAATCATTATGATTACACATTTGTGGACATGTCATATTTAAAAAGAAAAATTTTTAAACTTGTGAAAATTAAATAAAATACTGTGTTATAAAGTGCTTGGCATAGTGCCCATCACATAGTAAACACTCTACATTTTAAAATTATGTTTTATGGAAATTTTCAAACATAAACAAATATAGAGAATAAGATGAACTCATACATATTCATCACTTAGCTTCAATAATTATCAAAATTTTGCCATTCTTGGTAATATTTAGTTTGTAACTATCCCTCCCTTCCCATACACACACATACCATGTTTTTCTACCAAATGTACATGAATGCAATGTACACTGTATATAAGCATATAAAAAGTTGGAAGAAATTTACACCAAAATGTTAACCATGGTAAATTTCTCAACTATGGAATTATGGGTGATTTTAATTCTCATTTCATCTACATTTTCTCATTTTTCTAAAATAAACATGTATTATGTAATATTAACAGCTGACTAAAGAAAAGAACTCAAGCAAATATATGGCACAGAGTGAGAAGTTACTCTGAACTCCACCTTTAGAGGTTAAAAAACATATAATAAAAAAGTTTATATCAAGAATTTTTAAAAATTGAGGGGAAGTGTGGATGCTGACATCCATTTACCCAATCTCCCAGATTTTCTACCTTTATTGTTCAATGGTGACCCACATTTCAACACAATGCAATGTGTCAACCTTGAATGGATTCCGTTCAGTTGAATATCCAACTGTAAAAAGACATTATTTCAGACTACTAGGGAAATTTGAACAGATTGGATATTAAATTATACTAAGAAGTTATTATTTATTCTGCTAATATAATACTGATACACTGTAATTATGGTTTTTTTTTAAAGTCCTTATCTGTTGGGAAATAAGACAATGTCTGTGCTATGCTTTGTAATATTCCCGCCAAAAATAAAAAGTAGGGAAGGATGAAACACGATTGGCAAAATGAGTTGTTCAATGGTATAGAGTCTTAGTTTTACAAGTTGAAAAAGTTCTAGAGATCTGTTACACAACAATATGCATATAGTTAACATTACTGCACTGTACTCTTGAAAATGGTTAAGATGGTCCATTTTAATGTGTTTTTTTACCACAATAAAAAAAAGACTGGCAAAATGATAACTATTAATGCTAGGTAATGGGTATACAGAAGTTTATTTAAAAGTTTTTTTAAAAAAAATGATGACCACTCAGCACTGCTACATACTGAATCACAGAAAGATTTAATTTTGTTTAGTTTGCTAAGGGATAAAGAGACATACATCATGAATAACATTTTTTGAATTAAAAACTCAGAGCAGTTTTAGATTAAACAAAATTATTATTTCAAGAATAATTCAAATATCTTTAGTAGGGAAAACAAATGTTAGCTTTTTAAAGGTTTCTTATTCTAGCACTTGCTGAATCATGGTAAATTAAAATTTCATTTTCACTAACAATGAGGTTTTAATTATGCAGAGAATCACAATAGTAATTTGAAAAAAGGATCTGCAATCAATAATAAGCATACTCATAGATGAATAACTGAGAACTGAAAATTAAGACTCAATTTTCTTTTTTGCCAATCTGAAGGCTGCAATTAGAATATAACACTATCGGGCCGGCCCCGTGGCTTAGCGGTTAAGTGCGGGCTCTGCTACTGGCAGCCCAGGTTCGGAACCTGGGCTCGTACCAACGCACCGCTTCTCCGGCCATGCTGAGGCCGCGTCCCACATGTAACACTAGAAGGATGTGCAACTATGACATACAACTATCTACTGGGGCTTTGGGGGACAAAAAAAAAAAGGAGGAGGATTGGCAGTAGATGTTAGCTCAGAGCCGGTCTTCCTCAGCAAAAAGAGGAGGATTAGCATGGATGTTAGCTCAGGGCTGATCTTCCTCACACACACAACACGAAAAAGAAGATAACACTATCTTACAGCTACTTACGTTTGTACAGTGCTTTAGCGTTCAGGTCGAAAAACTCTGGTCTAGATGACCAGGATTTTATTGGCCCGCTCCGGCTGCATAGCTTGCTGCAGCCTAGAAAATAATTTTCCTCCCTGAGGTTGCTGCGGGCCCCTCCTGCCATTCTGAGCAGAGTCACTCAGAGCAAGGCCTTCTTGGTAGTTTATCAGCCAGCTGATACTTCAGCAGGATGATCAAAAGCCAACTCTTATTGAGACTTAAAGCAGCGAATAATGCAGATTGTTAAAAAAAAAAAAAAAAAGCTTCCCTCCACCTCTCTCAACTTATCTGGTCTGTTCCCTCATTCTGTAAAACCGAGATAACTACCAACATTGACGGATTATCATGAAATTAAACAGATAACATATAACTATATATTCTAGATAAATGCATCTAGAAGAAGCATCGAGACTGACCAGCACATAATAGATGGTTGCAAATACTCATTTCCTCTATGTTCATTTTGCTTTATGTTCTTGGTTTTTAATTGAAAAAACAAACAATATGTTCTAAGAAGAGATATTCCTAAATTAGGTGGCTATTTTTTGTTTTTGCTGAAGCCATTAGTTCTTCATTAAAAACACGTTTCTACTAGTGTTCTGTTTCTGCCACGAAGTGCTGCTTTTAGTGAGTGTGCACACCAATGCAGTGTGAATCTCTCAGTTTATCTGTGTCCAAACAGGCAGACCAGCCGAGGTCCCCCAGCCATCACAGAGATGGAGCAAGCCACAGACAGAAGTGGAGCCAAGGCAAGAGCCAGAAACAGCCAGGACAAGGGAGCCAGAGACCCAACGACAGAGACAGAAAGAAGTGGAAAAGGAGACAGACAGAGAACGGGTTAGAGAGAGAGAAGTGGAGGGAGAGACCAAGATGAGGAGAGTGAATGTGAATGAGAGAGAGAGACAGACAGAGAGAGAGAGCATGAGGGAGGGAGAAAGGAGCAGGGAGCAGGTGGGCAAGAGGACTGAGGGGACAGGAGGGAGCTCACGTGTACTGCATTAAGCTGGCTCATATTTAATCAAATTTACTCATTTACTCTCTGTCTCTCATTATTTGAAAACGTCTTAAACCCACCTGAATTATCTCTGACTGTTCAGCCAGCGCCTTCCTTTGTGCCTCCAGAGAAGACACCTGTTGCTGATAAATCAAGCGCTGCTTCTCCCAGTCCAGTGATTTCTGACGGAATTCCTGAAGAGGCAATTGAGGTACTTAACTTCTAAGTGCTTCCCCCTCGCTGTCACTACTTCCCAGAGTCACTTTTACTTTAATTTTTCCCCACATCCCCGGTATGCACGCACCTTTCTCCACAGCAGGAGCCCCATTATTCACTTAGCTGACACAACTGTAGAGTAATCCTGAATTCCTCACATACTGTGCCTCTGGACGTCTGTCTTTCTAAATTTAACACCCTAATGGTGAAGAGTATGAAACACAGATGCTAACTACTGGGTTCATGATGATTGTCACAGATTTGCTGCCACCTAAGGGTTGTTGTAATTTTTCAGAAAACTGATGCTAAGATAACTAAAATTTCAAAATATGACTACAGATATCCCTCACTATCCAAATTCTTGATATCCAAACCCAGGAATTGAACAGATTCAAATAAATTTTCAGATAAAGTCCCTTGGTAGCAGAATTCTTACTTCTCAGGATCTAAAACTCAGGAACCAAATAGATTCAGATAATACAATATTCTTTGATGTCCAAATTTTTACTATCTTAACAGAATAACTACAAAGATTTGAATAACATGGGAAATCTCTACTAAATTTAATAGATATTTGTAACTCAAAGCCAAACAGTTCAAAATTAATGATAGATCAATAGTAACTTCAAGTTGCATGATCACAAAAATGAGTCCAATATTTATGAAAACAGGGCAAATCAAAGGGAAAGGAAACTCAGTCTTGCTATCACTGTCCTCCAGGACCCTCAATTCCAGAAGTCTCATGCTAGCTCAGGGTAATTACTGTTAACCAGCTTTCTGATAGCCACTCATTCATTCACTCTACTGTATCTCTCAGGTACTGCTGTAGGTGTTGGGGATACAATATTTAATACAACAAAAAAAAATCCTAGCCCCACTCAATTAGAAGGCAATAGACAACACATTCATTGTACAGTACATTAGATGGTAATACCTGCTTTAGAGAAAATAGAGCATGGAGTGCTCAGACGTGGGGGTTGCAATTTTAAAACGGGATGGCCAGACTAAGTAACATTTAAGGAAACACTAGGGACATGGGGATGAAGTTATACTGTTCTGGGAAGAAGGAACAGCAAGTACAAGGCCTTGATGTGGAAGCATCGTGGTATGCTTGAGGATGAGCAAGGAAGCTGGTGTGGCTGGAAAGGAGTGAGTAAAAGGAAAAGTGGCAGAAGAAAGGTGAGAGAGTTAACAGGGAGCGAGACTATGCAGTCATTAGGATAACTTCAGCTTTTAAGAGCAGCTACTAGAAGGTGTTTTTTGTCCAGGAGAGGATATGATTTGACTTACAACAGAATCATTCTGGCTGTTGTGCTGACACAAGAGAAGTCAAGGGTGACTCCAAGGTTTCAGGCTTGAACAAACTGAAGAGTGGAGCTGCCACTGACTGAAACAGGAACGGTGTTGGGGAGATGAGGGGAAGAGAAAATCAGGACCTTTATTTTGGACATATGAAGTTTGAGACAGCTTTATATATCAAAGTGGAGATGTGAAACAGGCAGTTGGAAATTTTCTGTAATGAAGAGGAGAAGTCAAGACTAGATATATAAATTTGGGAATTATCAACATATACACAGTGATTAAAGCTATGAGATTGAATGATATCACCAAGGGAATAAGCATAGGTAGAAAAAAGGAGAGGTCCAATGACATGACCCTAGGGTATTCCAACGTCAAAAGGTTGGGGAGCAAAAGAGATGGAGAAAGAGTGGCTAACAAGGTAGGAGAAAAACCAGGAAAGTGTGGTTGTTCTCCAAGCCAAGTCAAGAAAGTGTTTTAAGGAGGAGGGAGAGACCAGCTGGGTCCAATGCTGCAGACAGGATGAGAAAGACGAGGGCGGCCACAGGCTTTAGCAATGTGGAAGTCACTGGTGACTCCCGCGTAAATAGCTTCTGTAGATTGAGGGGGCAAGTCTTACTGAGTGGGTACAAGAAAAGTGGAAGAAAAGGAATTAGAGACAAGTATCGACGCCTAAAGTAGTTTAGCTATGAAATGAAGGGGAAAAATGGAGTAGTATCCAGAGGAGGAAGAGAGAGATCAAGAGAGGATATTTAAGAGGGGAGAAATCTGGGTGTTGGTGGAAAATATCCAGCAGGGAGGAAAAAACTGAGGATGCAGCAGAGAGAAGGAGAATCGCGGGAGCAGTGTCTCGGGTAGGGAAGGGGGAGAGCATGGACAGTTCCTCCAGCAGGAAGGCAGAGTAAATGGGCACTGAAGCAAATAGGTGGGTAGATACAGTGTTAGAAATTTGTGAAAATTCTCTTCCCATTGCTTCTATTTTCTCAATGAAATAGAAAGCAAGACCATCACCCAAAGGTGAGGATGTGGGGAAAAGCATTAAAAGTTTAGAAAAAAGAAAGTATGAAACAGTCATTATGGGAAGTAAGAGAGAAGGGGAAGTATAGTATGCTTCCGTCTTGCATTAGGATCCATCTGAGGTGAGTGACTACAAATTCAAAATGAGGCAAAGTCAACATGATTATGTTTTTCTCCAGCCATGTTCTGCCAACATGGCAGAAAGTTGGATGTAACTAGAGTTACGGTTTTGCCAAGCAAACATGATGAAGTAACAGAAAGGCACAGGAGCTGAAGGGGAACGTAAGGAACATAACCATGGAATTTAAGCCAGGTAAGGACTGAAAAGTGAGGACACGAGGTAGATATGGAGCAGTGACAAGATGTCAGAGTTCAATCACTTGAAGGGATGGGGTCAAATTAGTATTGAGAGTCAAAGGACTAGAGGGAGTGAGCTGAAAAGACAGGGATGGCAGTCAGAGAATGAGATGCTTAAAAATGTGATTCTAAGAGGGTTGCAAGTATTGGTAATGACAACACCTAAGGAATGTCAATGGGAACAGGTGGATGAGACAGGAGGAGATCAAAATATCTATGGAGGAAAGAACACGAAGGAATGCAAAGACCAGAGTATTATAAGCTCATCCCTGTGGATACTGAAATCCTCAAGAATTATGATAAGAGTAACGTTGAAGAGAGTGACAATGAACTGGGAGCCGACAGCTGTGAGGCAGGGGCGTAACCCAGGAATCAGAAGATGACTACTTCTGTTGTATGTACATTGGTTGGTGGTATAGCTGATGACATGAAAATCAAAGATGGAGTTTTTGGGCCGGCCCCGTGGCTTAGCGGTTAAGTGCGCGCACTCCACTACCGGCGGCCTGGGTTCAGATCCCGGGCGCGCACCGACGCACCGCTTGTCCGGCCACGCTGAGGCTGCGTCCCACATACAGCAACTAGAAGGATGTGCAGCTGTGACATACAACTATCTACTGGGGCTTTGGGGGGGAAATAAATAAATAAAATTATTAAAAAAAAAAAAAAAAAAGATGGAGTTTTTGAGGTAGAAAGAGAATAGTCAGGAAGTGGTAATGAGCAGCAAGAAGAACATGAGGAAAAACCCCAGGTATCACTGAAGAGGGCGGGAGGGGAAGCAGTATCTGTGTAGTCCTAATGCTAAGCTCTGCAAATGTATAAAAATATTGAGATGTAAAAGAATATTAAACACAGAAATTACAATTCTAGGTAGTAATGATATATTGGCATTTGTGGGTGACAGGTTGCTCTGAGTAGAAAAATTGTAAGTAACCATACATTGTAAGTTAAACAATGTTTCTCAAATCGGAAGCAGCTGGGGGGGCTGGATAAAATGCAGATTCCTAGGTCCCGTGCCATACCACTGGATCAGAATCTCTGAGAGCCTAAAGAGGACCCTGGGTGATTCTTAGGTGCACCGGAGAACCAGCGGCATAGACAGAGGAGGGGAGTGGTGGATTCAAGGGGAAAAGACCGACAGCCTTGTGCTGCTCCTTCATCTACTCTTGGCAGGGTTGACTCACCACCTCCCTTAAGTCCTCTAAGGAAGCGATATATACAATAAGCATGAAGTTACTCAGTCTTAACAAAAACAAAGTCAGCAAAGAGAGAGGTAAGTGGCTTACTATATCTAAATCTGAACTGGGAATAAACAATCTGATACACAGAGTACTATATACAAAAAAAGCCACATACTTGCAACATTTACTAAGCCCCTTCTGTATTAGGTGATAAATAAGACAAGGACACTGCTCACAGAGGACTGCTAGTAACTGGTGGTCAATGTTTCTCAATTTTGGCATTTTGGGTACAGTGACCCTTCCTGTGTGGAACGGTCCCAGGCATGTTTAGTATCCCTGGTCCCTGTCCCCTAAATGCCAGTTTCCCTCCCAGTCGTTTTGACAATGAAACAACATCTCCATACACTCCAAATGCCCTGTAAGGGTGGTACTGCCCTGTTGAGAACTACTGATGCTAGCAGCACCATCAACCACAGGGAGCCAGATGATGACAGGATATACTTGGATCATCCTCCCACCTTTGAAATAGCTCAGCGGCAGTCCTGGAGATGGTAGAAAATTGGTTTCAGGAAACAGCACTATCAGAAACAGGATTTTCCCACATGAAGGCTGACAATCACCATGAACAAATTATTACTATGAACATACCTCTATTTTTCCAGTTAACCTCTCAATTTCAGACCGATCTTCCCTGTGATTTTTGGTGTTTCCTCTGAAGTCCCTTATATGCTTTTTCTGTAGCTTTTCATAGCTTCTCTTCAGTCTGCCTAACTGTAGACACAGTTATTTCTAGACTTAAAATTTAAGAATTTGTATTGGTATTATGTGGTGGAACAAACTGGTATAATGAAAGCAAGAGCACTGATAAATGGTACTATTGAAAATAGACTGAGAGCATGTTAGATTTGCAAATTAAAATACAAAACAACTCAAAACTACATATAAAAAATAAACACTAGAAAAGAAATATATTGAGTCAAAGAGAAAAAGGCAAAACAATTTTAAACAAAACTTTAATTTTTATTATAATAACCTTGCACTTAAGGGCCCCACAACTCGCCCCCACCAGAAAAGCAGCAAATAAAACCTCTTTCTTTTCTCTTGGCCTAGGTCCTTGAGCCATTCTCCTGTGGAACACTGATATTCAGTAAGCAGGAGAGGAGTACTTTGGAATTAAACAAAAATAAAAGCAGTTTTTTCCCCAATCTGAAGAATAAAATTGAGTTAATATATAGAATTTTCTTACTTTTCTTTTCTATCCCAAAATGCTTTTGAAACCTTTGGATCGTCCATTATTTAAAATCTAGCAACTGATTTAACTCAAAGTTTATAATATTTAATATAAATTTTTGGTATCACTATTTCACAGTATTATACAAAAATAGCTCTATTCTTTTCAGGTTCTCAACCGACAAACACATTTGAGAATCCCTGTTCTAGGTAGTATCAAACATATAATTAGGCAAGATTCTTTGCCTGGATTTAAGAACAGAGAAGTAGATTTCCACCCTATACTTCCCATGGAATACATACTTCCCACTTTACAAGGGAGAAACTGGCCCATTAACAAAATTCTCAAAGGTTAGAGAGAGAGAATCATACAACACAGAATGAAAACCTCACTTCTTCATGCAGTTTCTTTAACTCCTGCTTATACTCCACGGCCATCTCTTGCTTGACTTTTTCCTGTTCTTCTACTTGTTGACGTAACATTCCAACCTAGAAGCAGAGAGGTGGTAGTGTTTCTTATTATTAGCATTGAAACAATATCCCTAAGACATAAAAATAGGAAATAACTTTTATACTTATCTGCAAACACAAGTTCTCAAATTTATATGGTAATAGCCCGGTTCCCATGAAGTCAAATATCTAATTATTTACTAATCCATAACACTACCAAAAAATGGAAAACAAACAACTGTTCTAAAATTTCTAGGTTTAGATGAAAACTTGCTCTCAGTCTGATTTATTCTCCCTAACCCTTTTTATCAAAAAAAACTTACAAAAAAATTAAGAGATATAGTTATAAAAAACTTGGAAACTAAGAATATTGAACAAAAATCTATGAGACTTCAAGAATAAGTTCTATAAATCAAAGTGTGGAACAGTAATGTCAGACAGTAGGACACTTGTACCTGCTTTACCATTTACCCGACTTCACAGAAACCAGTTCTACCAACTGGAGGAAAGACGTTATCCTGGCCCACTTTTCAATGGTTTGGTATCACTCACAGCTAGTTCATGCCCAGCCCTCACCTGCATCAATATTCATCAGTATTTCTCTACATCTCTCGATAATCAGTTAGAATTTCATCTATTGATGAGTGAGCAGAGAGAGGGAGAATGGATAACAGGAGGTAGTAATTTCAATCACAATACAGAATAGTAATTAAAAAAAACAGAAATAAACTCCTTGCAGGAACAAGGAGTTAATGCAATTCCAAGTAAAAATTCTAGTATAATTTTTTTTTTTTTGGAACTTGAAAAAGTGATTCGGAAGTTCAAACTAAAAGAATGATTAAATATAGCCAATAAAATGGAAAAGATAAAAAAAGTTCTAAGTGAATATTTACTGGACTTCTAGGTGGGGGAAACTTTCTGAGCTTAAAATTAATGAAAAAGTCATTTTAAAATGATGGCTCTGACTATGTAAAAATGTACAACTTCTTTATTTTAAAAAATCCCATTAAAATTAAAAAGTAAATAAACTGAGAAAAACATTTACAAAAATATATCAAAGGGTTTTTAATTTTTAGGTATCTTTTTCTAACTTGTTTCCACTATGTTCAAAGAACATACCCTTATAATTTCAAACCTTTGAATTGTGTTGAGATTTACTTTATGGCCCAGCATATGTTCAATTTTGGAAAGAATTCTGTTTGTGCTAGAAAAGAATGTGCTCTCTGCACTTCTCTCATGGGATGTTCCGTATGTATAAATTAGGTCAAGTTTATTGATCGTGATGCTCAAATCCTTCCTGATGTTCGTCTCCTGTTCCATCAGATACTAAGAAAAGTGGGTTAAAATCCACAACTACAATTGCAGCTTCATCTATTTCTCCTTGTAGTTCTGCCACTTTTTGCATTCAGAAAAGGGAAAGGAACAAAGAGAGGGAGAGATTTCTTTTAAGACTATTTTATTACTTACAAATTTAGATTTTTTTGGTCATAGTTTGAATTCCCCCAAAAGCGTAGCCTGAGACACGGACTTCAGGACAGGTAACTGGAGGTGATCCCAGGAAGCACAGTGAGGAAATGGAGACGGAGACCCAGGGAAGGGAGGAAAGCCAATAAAGGATGTGTTAGAGGGCCCATTTCTATAAGATAACACAGACAAACAATTCAATGAGATAAGGAGTTTCTTCACAAAAGAGATTGAAATCATAAAGAAAAACCAATCAGTATTGATGGAGATGAAGAATACAATGGAGGAGATAAAGGAGAAGAGGAATAGAGAGCCTATTCAAGGAAATAATAGCTGAGAACTTCCCAAATACGGGGAAGGAGCAAGAAATACCAATAAGTGAAGCCAATATGTCGCCTAAATACATCAATAGGCAAAGGCCCACTCCACGACACACAGTGGTAAGGCTGGCTAAAGTCAATGACAAAGAAACAATATTAAGGGCAGCTAGACAAAAGCAAAAAATAACGTACAAAGGAACTCCCATCAGGCTGTCAGCAGATTTCTCAACAGAAACTTTACAGGCTAGGAGAGACTAGAATGATATATTCAAAATACTGAAAGACAAAAACTTTCAGCCAAGAATACTCTGTTCAGCAAAAGTATCCTTCAAATATGATGGAGAAATAGTAACTTCCCCAGATAAACAAAAGCTAAGGGAGTTCATGGCCACGAGACCCCCATTACAAGAAATACTCAAGAAGGCCCTCAGGCCTGAAAAAAAGAAGCGACAGGGAATACGAAGCTTGGAGCAAGGAGAAAAATAGGTAGACAAAAATCAGAAAAATAGTAGATCTTTACCGGAATAGGTTAGCAACCACTTAAATAACAAAATCAAAGATCAAAGGAAGGAAATCACCAAAAATAAATATAACCTCATCACTGTAAACATACACCACAACACAAGATAGAATAAGTTGTAACAAGAATGACTCAGAAGGGGAAGAGGAAAGAGATTGAATTGTCTTAGTATAAGGAAATGAGAGGCCATCAGAAAATCGACTCTCATACACAAGATTTTTTATACAAACCTCAAGGTAACTGCTAAACAAATAATCAAAACAAAATCACATATGATAAACAAAGAGAAAACTAGAAGAGTCATAAGACAGAACAACCAAACTGAACTGGCAGTCCAAAACACATGGGACAAGAAACAAAGGAAATGCAGAAGAACTGGAAAATAAGTGACAAAACAGCAACATTAAGCCCTCATATATCAATAATTACCCTAAATGTAAATGGATTGAACTCTCCAATCAAAAGACACAGAGTGGCAGGATGGATTAAAAAGCAAGACCCAACGATATGCTGCCTCCAGGCAACACACCTCAGCTCTAAAGACAAGCACAGGCTCAGAGTGAAAGGATGGAAGACAATACTCCAAGCTAATGGCAAACAAAAGAAAGCAGGTGTTGCCATACTCATAACAGACAAAGTAGACTTCAAGATAAAACAGGTTAAGAGAGACAAAGAAGGGAAATATATAATGATAAAAGGGACACTCCACCAAGAAGATATATCAATTATAAATATATATGCACCCAACATAGGAGCACCAAAGTACATAAAACAACTATTAACAAACCTAAAAGGAGATATTAACAACAACACAATTATAGTAGGAGATCTTAGCACCCCACTTACACCAATGGATAGATCATCCAGACAAAAAGTCAATAAAGAGAGCCCATTTCTGCAGTAAGCAGCCAGGGCTAACTACCACTGGGAACTCACCAGGAACCAGACAGAATGCGTTCCAGTGTTGTCCCTCTAAGGGACGGGAAGTTGGAGAACTCATCCACCCACTCCAGTCCCTCCACTGCTCAGACTTGCCCCGGGAGTATTGACTCTCCCTCACTTCCAGGATTCCCAAAGCAGCTTTCTAAGGCTCCAGAGAGAGAAGCCTAGAGCAGCGGGATGCTGGCAGTGCACAGGGAGCTGCATCCAACAGTGCAGATGAAATCAGTGGGCAAAGAGGATGTGGTACAGGCCACAGACAATGTCTGCTACGGTTATATATCCTGAAATTTCATATTTTATCACTCACAAGTGTTTCTCTTCACCTTTAGTAATGTTCATTGCTTCTGCTTCAAGTATACTTTCTCTAATATGAATACAGCTATACCATCTTTCTATTCAAAGTGTTTGGTATATATTTTTATTTTACCTTTTACTTTCAACTTTGCTGTATCTTTATAAACACAAAATAGTTGAGTTTAATTATTTTTACCCAGTTGGACAATTTTTATCTTTTAATTAGGCCACTGAGTGCCTTTACATTTAATGGACCTATTTGGATTTAAATCTGTCATCTTATTAAGTGCTATTTGTACTTAATAAGCTCTATGTTCCTTTTTCTCTCCTTTCTTGACTCCTTTGGGACTAATAACTTCTTATTTCATTTTTCTCCTATTAGCTTGGAAGATATACACTGTATTAATATATTAATATATATACAATTATACAGATAATAATATACTTTTAATGGTTCTCTCTAAAACAGGAGTCTGTGACTTAACAAATCTAATGTTAATTAGTAGTTTTACCAATCCCCAGGCAACTCAAGGACACAGAGATACTTTAATTCTATTTATTTTCCCCAACCTGACTTATATGCCGTCATAATGCTACATATCTGTTAAACTGAAAAGGCTACTGTTGCTATATATAGTCAATATTCATTCAGATTTACCCCATATTTACTGCTGCCTTTCATTTCTTGCTTTATGTCGTGAGCTTCCATCTGGGATCACTTTCCTTCTGCCTGAAGAACATCATTTAGTTTTTCCTTGGTGCAGGTCTGCTAGTGACAAATTCTCTCAATTTTTGTTGATCTGAAAATGTCTTTATTTCATCTGTATTCTGGGTAGAGATTTCTAGTTTGGCAGGAACAAAAGTCATTCCTTTGCTTGTAGATATCATTCTACTGTCTTCTGGCTTTCACTGTTGTAGCTGACAAGCCAGCTGTTAGGAGCTATTTGTAGATAATCTGTCTTTTTTTCTCGATAGATAATCCATTTGGTTTTTTTGATTGCTTTTCAGATTTCCTCTTTGTCTTTAGTTTTCAACCTAGGTAAATATTCCTTTTTATTTATCTTGCTTGAGATTCTTGGACTTCTTAAATACATGGCCTTCCTCATTTTTGGCAAAATCTCAGCCAATTCATCTTCAAACACTGCTTCTGCCCATTCTATCTTTTTTCTCCTTCAGGGATTCCAAAACACTCATATTAGACCTTCTCACTGTATCCTCTTTCTCTTTTTTTCTCTTCTATATTTTTTATCATTTGCCTGGGCTTTATTCTAAATATTTTCTTCTGTCCTATCTTCCAGGTCACTAAGTATCCCTTAATCTTTCAAGTTTTAATTTCAGTTATTCTATTTTTCAATACCAAAATTTCCACTCATTTCATTTTTTTTATAGTTTCCAATTCTTTCTTGAATGGCTCAATCTTATCTTTTATCTCCTTGAACATGGTAAACACAGCTATCGTCAAGTCTGAGCATGATAATGCCAATGTCTAGACTTGCCAT